ACTGCTATCCACGATAAAATCTCAGCTTTAGCCTTACACCCCTATTCTGCAGCACTTTCGTATTCGGATTCTTTTACGAACCGTAGAATAAGGGTGTTAGGCTTGCAAAGACGAGCACCAGCAGAGCATCAGCTATTGAGATGATGCCATCCATCTCATCATCCTCCATACAGCTGTATGTACATATATGCTTTTAGAGAGAGCAGGTGGCAACCCTGTTTTAAAAACATACAGCGTTTTTGCACACCAAATGGCCAGGCACTTTTATTTGACCTCTTATGTTTTTATTGCAACGAACGGTGTGGCTTTTGGAATATTTTAAACAGACGGCAACATTATTAAAAAAAAAAAACAAACCTTATTGCACATCTGAAGGCCAAGTCCTTTCATTTGACAATTCACTTTTTAGTTCAACGAAGAGCCTACCTCTTATAAATTTTCATACAAGTGGCCCTCTTCGAAAAACAAGACCTTATTGTATATCTGGAGGCTAAGCTCTTTCCTTTAAGACCTCGTTTTTAAAAATTTATCGAACTGTGCAATTCTGATGTTATTACTAAACAAATGGATTAACTTATTATATGTAAGATTGTAATTTTCAAAAAAAGCTTATTGCACATCCGGAGACCATATCCTTTCACTCGGCACCAAATTTTTTAGTCCAACGAACGGTGAAGACCTTATAATTTTTAAAAAGGTGGCAACGCTAATAAAAAAATTATACATTATTTAACATCTAAAGGCTAAGCCCTTTCATTTGACATCTCTATTTTTGTAATTCAACCAACGGATCTTATAATTTTTTAGACTGGAAGAAATAATATAGTAGGTACTAAAGATAATACCCCTATCGATTCCATTTTATATTAAACAAAATCTCGTCCAAATTCGTTCAGTCATTTTCGAGATTAGCGAGGTGAAAAAAGCTCGACTTTAATTTATATAGTATAAAAGCATAAGGACAAAATAGTAATTTTTAAATAGGTGGCAACCCTTCTCAAAAGAATAAAAGTTTTTTTACATACGAAAGCCATGCCATGGTTTCTCATTTTGTTATCCAACGAACGGCGGAATCTTATAATTTTTAAACCTGTGGCAACCATACTCAAAAAATAGTATATTATCTTGATAGGTGGTGACCCTATTCCAAAAAAAATAACACTCACTAATGCCTATTTAGAGGCCAATTCCTTTCATTTGACACCTAACCAATAGTTTTCGTGATTAGCGTGTTCAAAGAATCTAGACTTCCCTTTATACTTTACACAGATGGATAGACTAATTTTATAAAATTTTAGCACTCGTTCAGCAATAATCCTGTTTCAATAGAAAACGTTTTAAGTATTTGTAAACGAAAAGGTCGATAATTTATAACAAATGCTCTTTATGGTGTGTTTATTCTTTTTCGATTCTTCTACCCTACACATCTCTCTCTCTCTACCTCTCTATTGTTCTCCACACACGCCGCTTCGTCGCTTTGTTATTTGCATTTTAATTATTCGCAACATGAAGATTTCCTATCAGTTTTCACATGAATTGCTGATTGAGTATTCTGATTTACAAGCGCATAATGCCGCTATTCACTGACCGCTGACCGCCCCCAGCGCCTTCCATCCGCTGCGCGTCATTCTACAAAGTACATTCAACTTCCTAACTGTCTGCGCGCAACTATCCCGTAGACCGATCGCTCGCAATTTTATTACTTCTTTTGGCTTTAGTTTTGCTCTGCGTGTTAATCGAGATAAACCTGCTCTTACATAATCATTCTTCTGTTCTGTGTCCGAAAAACGTAGCCCATTCCGCAAGCGCTTACAAACTGATTTCGCATTGACATTTAAGTCACTTGGAAGAGTCAGTGTCATTGCCATTGCGCTGCATGCGCCCCAACGCGCGCGCTCGTCATAATCAACGCGATTATCATGATTATCGTCACCTCTGCAGCGCGTCGCGTTGCTTCACTTCGCTTCGACTTGCACTCATCGCACATAAGTCACAATATTTTACCACCTGGTGTGGGACATTGCCATCGCTACCGTCTGTGGTGGCATAGCACGTAGTAGCTGCGTAGTTGGCTGCCGCTGCGCCACCTGCTTTGGCGGCAAATTTTGTGCGGAATTAAGTATGTATGTAAGTACTTACTAGCGCGCCATGTTCTACCATTTATTTGGCCACACGTTTCGGGGGTATTTCCATAGCTGTTGTTGTGCTATGTGTCTTCTGCGCTTGTCATATTTTTATTTTATTGTATTTCTTTTTTTTGTATGGTAAATTTATGCTTGTTTCGCCGGCTGTTCACTTAAATACATTTCCAAGCCGGTAGTTAATCAGCCCGAGCGTTGTTACATACATATGTAAACACATACATTCCTGTGGCTTTATACGCACTTTGCCGTTGCTTCTACATATTTACATAAATATTCTTAGTGGCTTCATGACAACTGACTTCAAGCACCAACTCGTGCATAACATTGCCGCTAAGTGCGCTTGTTCTAGTTTGTTGAAGACCCGTTTTTTGCCAATTCATGTTTTGCTCGGCTTTTTAACAGTTATTAATTGCTTGTAGCCAATAAATTGTGTGTACATGCAAATTCTCTAATTTTTTTTCTGATTTTGGTTTTGCAGCTCCACCTAACCACTTATCGCACTCACATTTGGCGTTGGCCAACTGCTGGTATCGTTTGGTATTATATTGGTATAAAATTTATGGCTGGTGACGATCTTTATTTGGCGACCGCTGTGCCAAATTGTGTAATTTTCATACGCAAATAGCGAACATTATGGGGTCATTAGAATTTGGCTCTCCATGATCTTTATGAGTTGCTGCTTATTCGATTTACTTCTAATTTATTTATTCTTCTTCATACTAAATAATTTATGCGGAAATGTAAGTAAGACATGGGGTGAGCTACAAAAAGATGATTAATGGTAGTTTTAGAAATGAAATAAGATAGTTGCGATATACTTAAACTCTAGAAATATGCAAAAGAGATTTTAAAATTGTGGATCTAGTTTCAATTTGCAAAATTCGTAGTATATATGATATATTATTATCCTCTCTTAAGCATATAGGTGGCGAGCATTGTGTGAAAGAAACAGCCATTTCGACGATAAGCCAGTTTAAGCTGAACTCTAGTCCGTAGTTCTGCCACTCAGCCAGTTATAATATTTGCGCGTAAACTAAAATGTTGTACAAGCAGATAAATTTGCCGATACTTTTCACTTTATAAAATTAGACGCTTCGGCATAATAATAATATTTTAGCGCTTACACTTTTGCTAATTGCTTGGCCGAGCTTCTCCTACAATTTATGGTGCGCGTCTTGATGTTATTACACAAATGGAGAAACCTATAGTTTTATGCCGCCTCCGCACGGCAAATGGATTTGGTGTGAAGCTTTTCGAATACACTCGGAGGTTTGCCATTGCCTGCAGAGGAGCGACGGTTGTTAATAAACAATTCTTTCTACAATTTCTTTGGCATGTTGCTTTGAACAGGAATCGAGCCTTGGTCCTAAGGTGTGGTAGTAGATACAGAGCAGCCTTGATATACATACATTCACTATTATGGAAAGGCCAAGTAATACAGCTAGTTTAACAAGACGAAAGGTTGTTCCAGCATTAATTGGCTTCTAGAATAGTTTGACTTCTTATTCTCTGTTTAAAGGTGGTCATTGATAGATGGGTGGGTAATTGTATATTTCCTTCCTAATAAGCGGTTAATTCTATAATGCCTTTGTAAATAAGAGTGAGTCTAAAGCGTTCAGCGCTAACTGACTATCAAGAAAGATGTAGGCTCTTTCCTCTCTGTACGTTTTCTAACGGGGCTCTATGGTGCCTCCTGGATGTCCAAGGAAATATATCTCCTGCCTGAGTTCAGTTCAGATACCGTTTTGCACCGAGCAGGAATAGATTAATTTTTCACTATGCAGATGCCAAGGTCTCTAGTCAAAGTGACTTAAACATATAAGGCCTCGTTGTTTCCACTAAATTAGCAGATGAAATGTAAGTGGAACTATAAGGCTTGAGTAGGCAATTGAGAAGTAAAGTCCTTTCTCGACGTACAAAAATCACACTCTATCACTCCCTCATTGAGCCTTCTGAATTAAAACTAAGCAATTGCTTTTTCTTAAAATTTCTAAACTTTTACTTAAATTTTTTTGAATAAATCGGGTAAAAATGTCTGAAATTTTAAATTTAAATTTTTTGGTTTAAACCACACAATCCACCCCTTGTATGCGCTGATGTTACCACTCTTTTCCAGGTAGGCAAACACAGCTATGAATAGAATCAGAAATATCTGGCGTAATCTTAAAAATTTCATGCCGTTAAAAACTGGCTTGAATTGCTTATCGCTCTACACTTTATTCGGCAGAATGAAGATACGATCTGAACTCAGCTCAAGGATTAAGCTTTGGTCTAATGCACCAGCAATGCCTCTGAGTTTTTTTTTTGAGGAAATCAAGCTGAAACTAGCAATCCTCGCAGAGAATTCTATACTAAAAAGTTGAGGAAATATTGAAGGATTACGTGCACCAGCCGCACTAATCTGAATAGCCGCAGAGTTTTGAGTTACCGAGGTAAGTTAAAGATCATTAATATGACCTCAAACGTTAACGTAAATACTGGCTGACAAATCGATTAATCGACTAAAACAGTGATGAAACATTTGAGAAATAAATGGCGCCTCGTGAGTGAAGTTTCTTACTTACTTATTCCAGTTTACGTGCTTATTAAAATATTGATAAAGGTATTTTCCTATTACTTGTTTGCACAAACCATGCACAAAAAAATACGGGCCATTGTATCATTGCGTTTGGCACCTGAAGATTGTGAAATTTTTAAGTTAACTACTCAATAAAAGATTGTTCCCATATTAATATTAATACAACTGCCCCAAAGAAACCCCAAAATAACAAAAACCACCGAACTCACTTAGTTTTGCTGCATAAATACCCACGACCTCTGCAAATTTCAAATATTACCACTAAACTTCACAAAAACTCATTGAAACTTGGTTCGAATCGATCCGCGAACCGCCATCTCCAACACCAAACAAGTTGCCACATTAAATGGCCAAACACCAAGTTTCAAATGCCGAGGCGCCAAAGTTGCTGGCAGCAGTGCAGAAGACCTATCGGCCGCACAACCGACAACAGTCTGCGGCAGTTGAGCAAAGCGAACGGACGTGTAAAGCGGATAGGGCGCAAAGTGTTGACGGTTCAACAGTTGAATTTTGAGTATCGAGTGGCCAGCAGCAACGAAGCAAAGCATTCGAAGCACACGGAGTGGTAAATTTGTGCTTTAAACCGAAAAATAAAATAATATAGTTGCAAATATATTTTTTTTGCGATTTAAAAATAATTCGACTTGAGTTGTTATTCTACTGCTAGCGCAATTTCTGCTGGCCTGTATGCTCGTAACGGATGCAGCGATAGACTGCGTATGCACACATCAACAGTTGGGCATGCTCCGTCGAGTAGGACGGTCGTTGGTCGGCTGCCAGCACGAGAACCCATATAGAATTTTAACGCGCGCCGGCAAGTGTGCGAAAGTGCAAAGTGAAAATGTGTGCAAGAAAATGCGGCATGCCACAAAGAAGAAAGTGACTAGCCGCCAGACGATAACCCCTACGGCGACGAAGTCGAAGATGACGTGCGCGATAACTGCGGAACCGCGTCGCGGGGCATGTAAACGCTCTATATGGCCCATGAACTTGTTGTGGTGTCTGCTAGTAGTCGCCTCGCAGGTAAACGGGTTAAACTACATCGATGACACAAGTACAGCAGTGGCGGGCACGTCGGAAGCCATGGCTCAGGCGATGGGTCTGTATGGCGCGCGCGAACCGCGTTTCGGTGACCGTTTGCTGCCGCTGCGCAAAAAGGCCGGTGCAATAGTGGCGAATGTGACGCCGAGTCAAAGGCAAGTTAATAGCCTCTTGAGTAAAAGTAATTATGTGGTGAGTTACGTGAGTGGAAATAGTGCAAGTGGCGCGGCAGCTAGTGTGAAAGCGTTGGCACGTGCCACAGCCGCAAACTCGACTACCGAAGTGAATATATTGCGCAATAATAGCGCAAGTGGCGTTAGCGCCGCCAGTGTGAGTGTTGAACCGAAAATCGAATTATACACAATGGACTTAGGCGTCGAACAGGCTCACTACACGGCTGCACCAGCGACAACGCAACGCCGCAGCAAGCAGCTGAGTAGGCGCGAGGATACAAATATAGGCGGACTGCTGCTGGACTCCACCACGCCCAGTTTAAGTAGCAAGGATGCGAACATCTCCAAGGCGGACCGCCTCGTCGTCATGTCCACTGAGTTCTTTGTCGTGCCGTCCAGCACACCGTCACCGCGTGGTGCGCACAAGCCAGGCACGCCAGCACGCACAGGTGCCAAGGCAGCCGTGCTACCCACCTACCTACAACCACCTCCTTCGGGCGCGTCCGCTGGCGGACCACGCTCGGTGTTAATTGTAGCACCCAAGCCAGCAAACGCGACCTCAAACACAGCGCACACGGGACACGCCGCAGTATCGCCGTCCATGGTGCCAACACACCTGCCCTTCACTGGACTGCGCAAGGAGCCGTGGGTGGTGCCGGTGTTGGTATTGGCTGCGCTCACCATGCTAATGATGACCGCCTTTGAAATCTTCGTGCTGTTCAAAGCGTGGCGCACTTCGCCCTCACGTCGTCATCTCTTCCTCGGACAGATGTTGCTGCTGGGACTTTTCGCCTGTGCCGGGCTGGGAGCCGTGTTGACGGCACAACCTTCCCTGCTTACCTGTGGCACCATACGTTTTGGTGTGGGCGTTGCCTACGCGCTGGTCTTCGCTGCGCTGCTTGTCAAATGCGTCTTCCTCATCAGTCTAAATGGTGGCGTCTATCTACCGGCGCCCTACCAAGGCCTGCTGCTGTTATTCGCTGTGCTCATACAGGTCGCCATAGGCACACAGTGGCTGCTCACCCAGCCGCCTGAGATTTACACGCAGAGTGTGCCTATTTTGGGCAACAGCCTGCTGGCACCGACCATAGCTTCCAGCAGCGCCACATCGGCAGCGCAGACCTTCGCAGTGCTCTTCCAGTCACACAACCCCGCGCCGACCATTGCGCCCTCAGCAGCTGCGGTAAGCTCAAGCTTGGGCGCAGATTTGTACGCGCGCATCACGGCTGCTAGCACCGTGCTGATACCGCTGTGTAAGACACAATTCTCGGAGCTGCTCTTCTCGCTTATCTACATCGTCTTCCTCATCGTGTTCGTCGCCGTCTTGGCCATAAAATCGCGCGGCATACGCGACAACTACCGCGAGGCCACCTACATCGGACTGGCCATTGGCGGCGCCATACCCATTTGGCTGGGTTGGATGCTGTGCGGCCTGGCGGTGGCGGAACGGCACAAGGATGCCTGCATCGCTTTCGGTCTAATCGCGACATCGGCAACTGTTTTCTTGGTGATGTTCATGCCGAAGGGCCGACAATTGGCCGCCATGGGCAAGGAGGGCCTATACGTGGAGGATCGAGAGGAGCAATTCAGCTCGCTTAGTCGTGCTGGCTCCGGCTATTCGCCCTCATTTTTTCACTTTAAGCCAATCAAGTACGGAGTGATGGGCGGAGGCATGCAAAATTCGGCGACAAATACGGGGAACGGCGCCAGCATGAAGCACTGCTCGAATGGGCTGGGCGGAGGAGGTGAGTGATCGATTGAGATTTGTTTTTTAAGACTTTTGCAGTAGTTTTAAGTAAATTTGAGTGGAGGTGAAATTCGACACAGCAGTGCGATGGAAATTCAAATGAAATGGGCAAACTGCCTTTGAAAAGACGAAAAAATGTAAAGAAAATTATGATGCGAGTAAAAGATCTAAAAATTTTCAAGCAGTCTTAAAAGTTAAAAATCAAACCTTTTTAGTGAGCAATATCGGTATACTAGAAATTTAAAATTTTCACTTTTTCTTGGTTATGCGAGCAGTTCTTAGTTTGACCCATAAAAGTTCGAATTTTTTTTGCTTGCTATTTTATAGTCTTTGATTTTTTGAGTTGATTTTGTCAACAATGACATAACACTAATTGCAAATCCCATTAGCGTAAAGAAATTATATTTTCTCATGCTTGGTCGCGATGTCTGAGAAGAAAACTATTTTTATCGAATAAAGAAAATTTAAAAAAAAAATAAATAAATTATTATACTGAACAAATCGGAAAACGCCAATAATGAAAATTAATACAAAGAACGAAGAAAAAATATTATAATAAAAAATACAGTACAACGAAATAAATAGAATAAAATGAAGTAAAAAAATAAAATAAAATAAAATAAAATAAAATAAAATAAAATAAAATAAAATAAAATGAAATAAAATAAAATAAAATAAAATAAAATAAAATAAAATAAAATAAAATAAAATAAAATAAAATAAAATAAAATAAAATAAAATAAAATAAAATAAAATAAAATAAAAT